AATCTAGCGAAGGTCACAAACTTGACACTTTCTGTTGTACCAAATCCTCATTAATTTTGTGCATCAACATACCTTATACCTCTGTTTTTGAACAAAGGGATACAAGAGAGAGGTGAGAGGAGTGACCTGGGTTTTGTACCGTATTTTATATTTTGGTCGTAAAGTTCTATTATTTCCAGCTACTAAAGCTTTAGCAAGCATAGTAAGGTAGAATGTTTAGTTCCACGTTTCTACATCAAAGATTTATGGAATAAAGGGGTTGTTTGTAAGATGAATTAATACTTAGAAGTTAAATTAGGGTTTGTGTTTCATGTTGGGGCCTATGGGTTGTGGAATAAACTTTACTTTTTGACGTGCTACAAAACAAGGAAAGAACAATTTCTGGTTCAAGTGTCCAATTGCAGAAATTTGTGAATTTTTTTTCGTAATGTGCATGTGGTGTGCATGGCTACAACTTATTATGATAAGCAGGAATGTACATTAGTTATAATGTTCATATGTTGGGCCCTAAAATTTAGCGAGTATAATCACAACCTAGTTGGCCTAGGCAAAAAAACAAAATTAAGAAAAGGCTTTGCATGTCCATGAAATAATGACAAGGAGTATCATCTTTTTCACATGCACAGTTAAGTGGTAGTTGATATATGTAACAAGACTTTTTAAACTGCCACTATAACCTTATTTACTTAATAGTTATATTTTAATTGTATCCATTATACCAATAGAGTGTCTTTAATGTTTCTTATTAATGTGAAAAGCAGCTCGTTGCTCGATCTCCAGTTCTATGCATATCATGTGCATGCACTGTACATCTGATGTGCATGTACTATATATATGATGTGCATGTGGTGTGCATATAGTGTAGATGGTGGTGACGTCATTTTTCTAATTTCGAAGATAGAGCTGTGAACTCTAGGTTTTTGGGTTGGCTTAGATCTGTGAACATATAATGTTCATGTAATGTGCATGTCAATGGAAATAGATGATTTTTAATGGGATTTCCAAAATCTATGTTCAAGTCAAAGATTTGTAAACTACAGATCTCTAACAGATTTCTGGAATCTAGGCCCCTACATATCACCCAATGTCGTTAATTGCACGATGCACATCCATAACAAAACCGACGTCGTTGCATGTATTGATACAGATAAAAAATTTGGGATTTTCTTCGAACTTAGGGGAGAAAGTGTTCATCGACGGAGGAGAGAGATTGCAGCAGAAAAAAAAAATAGTGTCTTTAGTTTTTCATAAAGGATTTTCTTTGATATCTGAAAATTTTTTGGACTACAGATGGGTTTTGAATGGGGTTTTGAATTTGGGGATGAAGATGATGATTTGAGGAAGAAATCCCCAATCTGCAACTGCAAGCACATAAATTTTTCATTTCCCAAAAAGGTCAATCAGCAAACACAAACAATCTCCCAATAAATCAAATCTTCCAACTGGGTTTCGAATTTGGGGAAGAAAATGACGATTTGAGGAAGAAATCCCCAATCTGCAATTGTAAGCACAAAATGTGCTCATTTCCCAAATACAAACAATCTCCAAATCAATCAAATCTTCCAACTGGGTTTTCCATTATTTTTCACTAATCTAAGAACATCTAATAAATATCAATTTTAGAGAAAGATGGGGAGGGAGAGAAAGAGAGTAGAGAGAGAAAAATCAGAAAATAGGAGGAAATAACTCATTTATATATGAGGGCAATTTGATCAAGGTGTAGGAAAAATCCTATTTCTATCCGATTGTTGTGCATGGCGTGTACATATTCAAAAAATCTTATTTATGTCTCAAGATTAAGAAAATGTTCTATTTTTGCTATTTCCCAAGAAAATATAACTATTTATATGTAAATTTGATTTGTTTGCGGGGTTTTGAACTTTTGAATCTACTAATGTTAGTTTTAACTCATAAAAGTTGGAAAACTTGAAGAGTTTTAGTTCATAACACTGCCAATTTTTGTTACTAGGTGAGTAATTAGTGAAAATGAGTCTTTAGTTCAAGAAATAGTGACAGTACTAGTGTTCAGTTTTAGACATAATGATAGTACCCCTGTTTATTTTAAGAAATAGTTAGTGTTTAGTTTAAGAAATATTGATAGTACTAGTGTTCAGTTTAAGAAATAGTGATAGTACCGGTGTTCAATTCTAGAAAATGTAAATGTTATGTTTAAAAAATAGTCAATGTTTAGTTTAAGAAATAGTGATAGTACCAATGTTCAATTTAAGAAATAGTGATAGTACCCATGTTCAGTTTAAGAAATAGTTGGTGTTTAGCTTAAAAAATAATCAATGTTCTGTCCAAATATTTGAACAACATCATCACTGGTTATTCCCCTTGCGTCATGATCTCCAAATTTTAATTTTTGTTCCTTTGAGTTGTAGCATTGCATGATCTTCATCAAGTCCATGTCGGACTTCTTCTTTTTTCCATTGTGAGGCTAAGCCCACCACTCTCCTTAGTATAGAAAATATTGATTATTAACACACACAAAAAATGTGATACAAAAACTGGAGTCTCCTTAACATTTTCCTATAAATTTATAATCTTCATCACATAGTTGAACCCTAAACCTGTTAATAACCTCCTTTTTTTCCAGGTGTAGAAGTCCAAGTCATCATCTGAGTCAGGGTCCAGGGAACCCACTATGATACCATGTTAACATTTTAGAGTCAAGTTTATGTTCCACTACTAATTACATTGATATTATCTCAATTTAATCAATGGAGGGACCAAGATTTTATGTGTGAGGGAGTCCAACTAATAAGGACAAAACATATATGATTCTACAAACAAAGAGCACATAATTTAAATAAATTGAATAAAATAGAAAGAATAAAGATTAAAAATTATGGCAGTAGATATTAAATGTTGGAAATAAAATATAAAGAAAGAGAGAATAGAGAGAAGAGAGACTGGAGAGGAGAAATAAAATATGCAGTTGTACAGTAGTGCAGATACAATCAAACCTCTTTGAAGTAACACTCTATAAAAAAATAACCTCATTAAAGTTAAAAAAAAAAACGGGTAAAATGACCTGACCCGAAATGGACCCGATAATATTAACAGGTAATATGACCAGATCCGTTACCCGTTAAGGAAAATATATTTTAAACCAATAAATAATCAAATGAAAAACATAATACTAAATAAGTATATACATATCATATTGTCACATCCAAAACATATAAACGTATTTTTCTTTTAAGTATATTTTCACTTACCTAAAATCTTTAATAGTTTTTTAATTAATGTAGAAGTGTAAAAAAATATAGAAAAATATATAAACGCTTGTAATGACAAGTTTAACAACTTTCATGAAAAGCTTAACTTCGAAATTCACCACTATAATCATATAAATCATAGATCAAAATTTAACAGTTGATTATTGTTTACATTTACGCTTCATTATTCTCATCAAATTTTGTTTTTTCAGATTTTCTTTTTTGAAAACTTGATCTATTAGAGAATGCAGGAAGATGAACGGTTTGAATCGTTGATATTATATTCAGAGTTTTACAGTTAGTGAAAATATTGTTTGATGTTTATAAAGTTTCTACAAACTATATGACATCGACTCATATTTCAGTTAACCGTAAATATCGAAACATGATATCAAAGATCTGAACCGTTCATCTTCTTACATCCGCCATATGATCATGTTTTCAAAAAAAGAAAATTTTAAAATGAAATTCAGTAAGAAGAATAAAGCGTAAATGGTAATTGACGGTTAAATATAAATTTAAGGTTTATGAATTATAGTGTTGGATTTCGAAGCTAACCCCTTCATGAAAGTTGTAAAGTTTGTCACTATGAGTGATTGTATATTTATTTATTTTTACATTTTTTACACTCCTACAATAATTATTATTAATTTTATTAATTTTGCCCTCAAATAAAAAAAATTATTCATGAAGGTTTGGAGGATTTTAAAAATCTAAACGATAATGTAAGTGTAACCATTATCTACTCGTGGAGGAATAATGATGAATCACGAGTGTTTATATATTCTTTCACATTTTTCATACTTGTATGTATGTCTTCTTAGTTCTTGCCTATACAAATACTATATTAATTTATTTTAATTTTGAACAACAACATGTTAAGTAAAATTTATCCTAATAATGATAATAGTGAACTCTCATAATAAAATTAAATAATGACTAAAACTTTTTTTTTAAACTTATATAGAATAATAATACAAAATTATATATTTAATATAGAATATATTGTATATATTAATGGCTATTGTATTTTATAATAAAGATTTTAGTAAATAAACTTTAAAATTATCAAAATAATTTTTTTCTTAATGGGTCGAAATGGGTTACCCATGTGTTACCCGCGTGTATACCCGTTAAGAACCCGTTATTAACATGTTCTAACAGGTCACCCGATAACGACCCGATAAGTTATCGTGTTGACCCGAAACCTGTTATTTTCGTGTTGTTTTCATGTCGTGTCAGAAACTACCGGGTCTAGTCAAAAGTCTAAGATTGAGAGTGAAAAACAATAAAACTCGACGAGTATAATAAATTCAACAACGTCAATTATGCACTAGTACAAAAAATAGTTTGCGCGACGTAAGTACCATCGTAGCGCAAAGTCAAAAAATGTTGCCTAAAAATTAGCCCAAAGACACCTTCGCTGCAGGAAAACCGTTGCGCAAAGTCTGTGAAAGCAGGGTTTGCGCAACAATAGCACCTGCGTTGCGCAAAATGACGCAGGTTACTTCTTCGTCGAGCAAAAGCTTTTTGTTTGCACAACTACAGCACCTGCGTCGCGCAAAAGGACTTTGCACAACGAAAGAACATGTGTCGCTCAAAAAGCTTTTGCTTGACGAAGAAGTAACCTGCGTCGCACATAGTCTTTTTTTTTCTTTTTTTTTATTGGCAAAAATATTTTTTATTTATTTTTTTATAAATATTGTATTAAGTTATAAACAATAATTAATAAACCAAGAAAAAGTATTTAATTATAAAATATATGAAAATGTACATACAAGATGTTCGAACATAAAAGAAAAAACTACAACAAGTAGTCTTCTAGGCTTGATGCATTAGGCTACTGGGTATCGGTTAGGCGAAGTGGCTGGGAGGTCGAAGGTGGAGTAAGATTAGGTGCTGGCATCAGGATTTGAAAGCTGAACATTTGTAAGGCACGTAAGATCATACTCATCTTATCGTCCTGGACCGATAACTGGGATGCAATCTCGGCTTTCCGGGCTGCTGCTTCGGCCTCTCGTGCTGCTTATTGGGCCGCAAGCTAACCTTTTAAGGTTGCCACTTCCTCCCTCAAGGCGATGACCTATTCTATGATCGATTTGGAAGAGAAGGCATCTGTCTCACGAACCAGCACCTTCCCCATACACCGAACAACCTTGCCATGACAACGACTGAGCTTGTGATCCAAGACCTCAGTAATATTCTATAAGATTTCAAAGGGTAAAAAGTCATACATGTAAATCATTTGTAGATGTGTCAGTGTCAACATTAGACACTGGTTTGCACTTCGTGCAACAGACATTAGGTTTTTCCACCTGTAGCTATTTTTGTCCCTCAAAGCATAAGCCTCGTCTATAAGCACACAACTCCACTGCCATCGTTTCAGAATTTTACGATCATCTTTCTGCTGTGCACTGGAAGACCATAAGTAAAAGGAATTAAATTAACATAACATTAAAATTAAGGGTGTGATATTCACACACCTCATTTTACTTCTCACATACTGTTTTAATTTTCGGCCGTTAGATCAGATGAATTGAAGAAGATCAACGGACAGAAATTATCAAAGGATGTGTGAGAAGTCAAATGGAATGTGTGGATGGCACATCCTTAAAATTAATATCAATTGTCCATATGCAACACAAAAGCAAACATGTGTCTTTCAAATAGTGAGTAACACACGAGAATAACAATCCAGCTTTGGACAAAGAGTTCAACTCTTTTGAATATGTCGATCGTGCAACCCCATGATACTGGAGAACAGTGAATGATGGGCACCACTTTTTCTCTTTCCCAATTTTCCAAAACAGAAGCAGGGCATACAATCAAATGTGGACCCTACTCATCATTTAAATGTTTCAATAAACTAAAGCTAAAAATATTATTGGCATATGCAAAGAGAAAGAACATGCAGGTACCTGAATGGTCTTCCTGAGACCCATCTCGTCGACCAAAATGGCTGCACAAAAAATAAAGGATATTAAACTCTAATGATTCAGAATTGAGATTAAACCAAGCCATATATGCTTATACACTTAGCCTCATAAATTTAACAATACAGTAGGAAAATTTTGAACTATTGTGATCTAAGAACATTTAAGCTTAACATTTCAGAATCATGCAGTAGTAAAATGACTAATGAAATTCCATTTGGCGATCTGAATTTATTAGTCACACAGTTTAAGATCTTGTACTACTCAGAGTCTAGAGAATCAAAATTGATCACAGTCATACATTTTTACTTGGGGATTACTTTCTAAAGTAGAAGTAAAATCAAAATTATGCTTACAGAGTCTTTCAAAAAAAAAAAAATGCTTACAGAGAACAAAAATATAATTACCTCCACCAATACCCTTCTGATACAGCAGAAGAAGAAAGTTAACACCAATCAACTGATATGGCTTGAGAATAGGTTGAAAATCAGAATCTTCAGACCTACAAGCCTCAATAATGTCATCCTACAACAAATAACCAGTAGCCATCACCTGCCAATCCAATTGAAAGATGATACAACACCAGCAACAACAACATAAAAAAATAGCCAATTTTATGCTTATGAGGACCTTTCAACACATATTGAAAAGAAATACAAAACCTTCACGCAAGTAATACTCAATGACATAAATGAACCATACTTTTATACGGCTACATTCTATTAGCCTGTAATTTTCCTTTTTTCACTAATTGGAAACAAAGGAATACCAAATTTTTTAGCCCAATTATGAATGTGTAAAGGTAAGAGCTTTCTAACTCCATGTCATTCATACCACAAGAAGCTCAGTAAAAGTAAGAAAAGGCACTTGATTGACAATCCTCATATGGGCAACTTCCACTTCGGCGTACCGATCAGAAACCGTCGGAGCTGAACTTCCGTGGAGCTCTTTTCTCAAATCTGCCAATATTTTGGCACATTTCTACAAAGCCTTCCTAACCACGTCTTCATCAACTCCTCTACCTCCTCCTCATCTTCCTCACTCATTGACTCAATATTAGCCCAATCTTCATCGCTATCCTTGTCCTCGACCACGAACCGACGTCCACGATTGACCGGCCTGGCCTCCGGGACCTCATCTGAGTCGTTGTCCTCCAATTCGTTCTTAATAACGACGCAATCGAAGTCATCGTCCTCTAGTTCGTGTTTAATCTTGAGGCAATCGGAATCGGAGTCCTCCTCATCGTAGGAGAGCTGTTGGGGCTTGGAGGCTGATAGGAACGTGAGGATGAAGGCTACGGGAGAGGATGAGGATGAAGGATGAGGAGGAGGCTGGCTTGGTGCATACGCCAAAAATTGCAAAAACCAAACATTCAGATCAAGTAATAGAACAAAACTTTTCAACAGTTATAAACGAATAATCACGATTGAACGGTTATTTTAATTCTGGTTTTTAGGATTTTTTACAGCTACACTCCCTGACCCTATATGAATATAATGAATGAATTCGATCTTCAATTTAAAATATTTACACTAGTGGATACCACAAAATCTTATGTTATACTTGATGAAAGTATAAATAAACTCTTACGTGTTAGTGAATCTATTGTTCTGATGGGATACGCATTCTACGAAATTAATTTCAACGATTCAACCGTCAAACTTGTTTGTATATGCTTCGAGATGGCATACGCAAAAAATCGCAAAAAATCAAATATTCAAAGATCAAGTAACAAGACAAAACTTTTCGACGGTTATAAATGAAAAATCACGATTTAACGGTTATTTTAACTCTGATTTTGATAATTTTTTGTAGCTACACTCCTTGATCCTATGAATACAATGAACTAATTTGATCGTCAATTTAAAATATTTACACGAGTGGATACCACAAAATATTATGTTATACTTGATGAAAGTATAAATAAACTCTTATGTGTTAGTGAATCTATTGTTTTGATGGGATACGCATTCTACGAAACTAATTTCAACGATTCAACCATCAAACTTGTTTATATATGCTTCGAGATGGCATACACAAAAAATTACAAAACAAAAAAACATTCAGCGATCAAGTAACAAAACAAAACTTTTCGACGGTTATAAATGAAAAATCACGATTTAACGGTTATTTTAACTCCGATTTTGATAATTTTTTGCAGCTACACTCCTTGATCCTATATGAATACACTGAACTAATTTGGTCGTCAATTTAAAATATTTACACAAGTGGACCACAAAAACCCTTTGAGTGACATAGTTTGTTCGTCGCACATACACCCTTTGCGTGATGCATTGGTTAGAGTGCCACGCAAACAATCCTTGAGTAACGCATTGGTTGCTGCGTCGCGCAAAGTATGTTTGCGCAACGACCCCATTGTGACATTGCACAAGTTATATATATATATATATATATATATTAAGAAAAAATTATTATAAAATTTACTGAAAATGTGACTTTACTCCTTTCAAATTTTTTTTTTTAGTTTTGTTTACATAAAACACAGTAATATATTTTTCTAACAAAAACCCGATCCGAACTACAATAATAAATTTAAAGTTACTTAATAAATATATATATACCATTCAATTTCTTAAGTGTTATAACAAAATAAATAAATTTAAAGCTACTTAATAAATATATATACCATTGAACTTAATGGGATACGTATTCTACGAAACTAGTTTTAACGATCAAACCGTCAAACTTGTTTGTATATACTTCAAGAACGCATATGCCAAAAATCTTAAAAAAAAAATTAAAAAAAAAACATTCAGAGATAAAATAACAGGACAAAAAAATTTCAACGGTTATAAACGAAAAATTACGATTTAACGGTTATTTTAACTCTGATTTTGATGATTTTTTTACAGCTAAACTCTTTGACCCTATATGAATACAATAAATGAACTCGATTTTCAATTTAAAATATTTGCACTTGTGAATACCACTAAATCTTATGTTATACTTAATGAAAGTATAAACGCCCTTTGCGCAACGCAGATGATACGTCGCGCAAACAACCTTTGCACAATGCATTGATTGGTACATCGCGCAAACAACCTTTGCATGACACATTGGTTTGTACATCGTGCAAAAACAGAACACGTACTACTTTCTGCTTGAGCAGCCTACGTTGCCACTTAAGTAACAGAACACGTACTAATTTTCGCTTGAGCAGAAGAAAAACCACCGCTTGAGCAGTAGACCCCAATGTAATGCCCGTTTGAGTGACCTAATAATTGTTTTTAAAAAAAAATTTGACAATTCTTAAAACAAAAGCAATGAAAACACAAAATTAAAGTGCCAACACCCAAACTTAAACGAAACATTGTCCTCAATGTTTGCAAAAACTAATGCATGCAATGCATTCATCAAAGCAAAGAAATGGAAAAGACCACATAAAGAAAGAAAAAATTGAAAAACAAAATAAAAATTGCAAAGATAGGATTTAGAACTCCCTTTAATGAAGTATCGAAGTTGACAAATCACCTATTCAACGATTCAACCGTCAAACTTGTTTGTATATACTTCGAGATCGCATACGCCAAAAATCGCAAAAAACAAACATTCAGAGATCAAGTACTGGGACAAAACTTTTCGACGGTTATAAACGAAAAATCAAGATTTAACCGTAGTTTTAACTCTGATGTTGATGATTTTTTATAGCTACACTCCTTGACCCTATATGAATACAATGAACGAATTTGATCATTAATTTAAAATATTTACACTAGTGGATACCACAAAATCTTAAGGAAGAAATAATTTAGTTTTGGAACCATTCATTAAGGTCTACAAAAGGTGATTAAGGTTGTATGCCTGCAGACATTTTATTAAACTAAATTTTTAAAAGGTCACATTACATTCGCCCAGAAGAAGGAGACATGCCTAGAAACTGCTGCAACTGGGGATTTGCATTTTCTGCCTCCCAAACTGCTTCAGTGATGTGAAAAAAGTTGTTGACTTTGCGTGACAAAGATTGTCGTCGCACAAAACTGTTTTGCGCTACGAAGACTGCAAACCAGTTTTGTGGGACCGCAGTCTTCGTCGCACAAAATGTCCTTGTGTGACGCTTAGTTGTCAACGTTGCGCAAAATGTCTTTGCGCAACATAATATGCTCCGCCGCGCAAGTATGTTTTTGTACTAGTGGTGTCTCGTGTGTTTGTTCTAAAATCAACATCATACTAACGAATCGAATATTAAAATAATCCATTGAATAATAAATTATTGAAAAGCAAAATATAAATTTAAAGTTTTTATTAACTTAAACTACAATCTTCAAGACCATATGATATTTGATTTAAACATTCGATAGAAATTGAGAGATTGAAAAGTTGAAAGAAAAAAAAAATTAATAAGGTACTTGAATTTATAACTTTATATGCTTTTAGACAAATGGATTAAGAGTAAATTTGAAAAACAAGAAAAAACTAGTGACTAAAAAAATAGCTCCACATTTCTTACTCAACCCCCCAAAGAAAAGGGAAACCAAACATTTCTACTGCACTAACAAATGAATTATGATATTAATTACTTTTTCTTTATTTACATATTTACATAACATATAAAAAAATTGGAAGCCCTAGGTAGGCACGTATATTGACTACCCTCATGGTCGGAATTGTGGGGGTAATTGTTAAGTTTTATTACAAAAGGGTTTTGTGTTATTAATAGTGAAATCATTTATTTATAAATAGTAATATATTTTGTTAAATTTTTTAAGTGAAATTTCATTCTTCAATGGTAACAAAATGGTAGAAAAGAGTTGGGTCCTTGCATGACGGCGTGAGTTTGAAGCATGTCAGTGGCTAATCTAACTTCTAATCTAACAAAATATATCATTTGACAAAAAAAAAATAGTAAGGCATTAATGATATATGCATGTTATAGTATTTACTTAAAACGATCATAATGTCGGAAAATGAAAACATTAAACAAGGTTGCTAGTTTTGAGATATGCCCAAGTTAAAATGGAACACAATGATATTGGCAACTGGCAATGGTAAGTGTTGGGTTTTATTACAAAAGGATTCTGTGTTATTAATAATAACCCATATATGATATATGCATGCATAGTATTACTTGTTTTAAGGAAAATATGATATCCATTGATAAGAGGGGAATACGTACAAAGTGTGGATAGTGTATTAACATGGGTCTCGATAAAAACCTTACCGGGGTTTTCAACCCGGTCGAAGGGAAAAAAAAGTCCTCCACAAATAAACAAATGTTTGCTATCCTCCACCGCCAGACACATACAAATTAATTTGATGCATCTTCAAATAAATCATCCAAAATTAAGTCCGGAGGTTCCGTCAGCCATATTACTCATGAGAACTTCCAACTCCAGCGCGAGGAACCCTGTGAGCCCCCTGGTTTTTCTCCCGTCTGACATGGTGGAGCTTTGTCTGCGAAAGGTCACTGAGAAACGCATGGATGTCGTTGATTATTGGACCCAGGGGAGAGCTATCATCTCCATGGCCGTTCCAGGCGGCAATGGTAATAAGAGAATCCCCTTCCAGCACAACCCAAGACTCATGCTGATGGATTTGTTTGAAGAACAGGAGAGCACTTCGCGCGACAAGAAGCTCCACATGCAGCACCGACGCCGCAAACTCGACTCGCGCAGAGAGCGCAGCAACAAAATCACCATGGCTGTTTTTGAGGATTACCCCCAATCCTCCACGGTTTGTTAAGTTTTTGAAGTGAAATTGCATTCTTCAATTGTAAATTAGTAACGCATACGATAGATGCATGTTTTAGTATTACTTAAGACGATCATAATGTTGGACAACGAGAACATTAAACAAGGTTACTAATTTTGGGAAACCTTACACTATACATAACGAAGAAAATGGATTTAAACAATCATAAAAAAAAATTAGCATAGTTACTTGTGACAAATGGGAAGTCCTGATTGAGATTTGATTTTATTATTATTATTTGTTTTTTAGAAGTACGATATTCATTGATAAGTGAAGGGAATATGTACAAAAGAGGAACATGTGCATACATGGGTCTCGATAAAAACCTTGCCGTGGATTTCAACCCGATCTAAGGAAAAAAGAGCGACCCACCCCTTAAAATTACAAGTCTAAACTTTCCTCAAATATATGATCAGTGATAATAGCAGGGGGTTCTTCAAACGATGGCTTTTGTCCATCCATAAAAAGACCCAACCGAGCCAAGCGGTGTGCAACCCTGTTAGCCTCCCGTTTAGTGAAAGACAATCGCGTGTGGGGAGTTGAGTACAGAAAATGTCTAGCATCATTAATAACATGCCCCAGCGGAGACATATCATCCTCAGAATTTTGTTGAGGTGCAGCGATCACCATCTGTGCATCCCCTGCAAATTCCACATAAGCAGCCTCCAAATCGCGCGCAAACAGCACGGCAGCCCGAGCTGCCATCATCTATACTAAAAGTGGCCAAGAAATATTTAGATTTGCTTTTAAAGGATCTTAAACAGTGATATCAATGAATTTTGTGGATTTGGACAGATTAATTTCATAGTGTATTCTAGGCCTTAGCAAATCTAGACTCTTTCTGAGATTATGAGGAAATTCACTCACATTCTACATCGAGTCTATATCATTACAGCATCAAACTCCATTAAGGAAATTTAAAATTTTAATCTAATTGACCCATTTAATGTGGCAGCTGATATAGCACTATTTTGGACGTAATTAATTTGTTAGGATTATTTGTTGTCATATTGACCTAAGTGAAATAAGACTATTGCCATCAGATTGTCACACTACCAAGTATTGTTATTAATTTATTAAACTTATAATATGTGTATATATATTATATAAATAATTACACCGTGTATTAGCGTGATTGTCACCCCCGAAAATCTTCTGCCAAAACAACTATAAGAGTCTTTGACGAAGTATCCAATTCGTTCTTCTTTTCAAGGTTTGGTAGGAGGCTTCAATGCATAAAATTATATGATAAACAAGCACAAGGTGTTGAAAGAAAAAAACCTAGCCTCACTTGAATTTTACGGCTTAATTTCCATTGTATTGCATAAAGGAAAAATATATACAAGATACAACCCTTGTTCTACAAGGTAACAATAAAGGACTCACAAATCCTTCCTAATAAAGGATTCCTAATATTTACAATATATTTATGCCCTTTTTACAAAACCCCTCACGGCGACACTCTCCCTCAAGTTGGAGCATAGATATCACACATACCCAACTTGACAAGTGACTCACCAAACAACCTACTACACACGGCATGAGTGAGGATATCTACGAGTTGCTCTTCTGAGTTCACAAACGGTATTGACACAATTTTCTTCTCAAGCTTTTCCTTAATAAAGTGACTGTCAACCTCCACATGCTTTGTTCTGTCATGTTGTACCGGATTCTCTGCATTCTCCCGTGCAGACTTATTATCACAATACAAGCTTATTGCCTCATTTGCTATGAAACCTAGACCGCCAAGTAACTTACGTAACCAAAGAACATCACATATCCCATGTGCCATACCTCTGAATAAGGCCTCAGCTGAAGACCTTGACACCACATTTTGCTTCTTACTTCTCCAAGTAACTAGATTTCCACCAACAAACGTAAAGTATCCCAAAGTAGAGCGCCTATCAGTCACATCACCTGCCCAATTAGCGTCAATAAATCCCTCAACCCTCAGATGACCTGAATTTTTATACAAAATTCCTTTTCCTGGAGCCGACTTCAAATAAGCCAAAATTCGCATAACAGCTGCCATATGATCCACACTCGGCGAGTGCATAAACTGACTCACCATACTTACTGCATAGGCTATATCCGAACGAGTATGAGCTAAATAAATTAGTCTTCCTACCAGTCTTTGATATCTTCCTTTATCCACCGGTTCTTGATCCGGATAAATTCCCAAGTAATGTTTCTCCACAATAGGAGTATCCACTGGTTTACACCCAAGCATACCTGTTTCCTTCAATAAATCTAGAAAATATTTTCATTGAGTCAAGAAAATACCTCTGGACGAACGAGCAACTTCAACACCAAGGAAATACTTTAAGTCACCCAAATTTTTCATCTCAAACTCGGCATAAAGGTTCTTCTCTAGCTCGATAATTTCATCTCAATCATCACCTATTATTATCATATCATCTACATAAATAATCAAGGCTGTTACTTTATCGTTCCTCCGCTTCACAAATAAAGTATGATCAGAATGACTCTGAAAATACCCATTCTTTCTCATGGCCTGAGTGAGCCTCCTAAACCATGCACGTGGTGACTGTTTAAGCCCATAAAGGGACTTCCGCAGTCGGCACACTCCCATTTTTCCTCCATTGCTATACCCTGGAGGAAAATCCATATACACTTCTTCTTCTAGATGTCCATGAAGAAACGCATTTTTTACATCAAACTGTTTCAGTGGCCAATTCAAATTTTCAGCTAGTGAGATAAGGACTCGTACCGTATTCATCTTAGCCACGGGAGAGAAAGTTTCCTGATAATCAACTCCGTATGTTTGAGAATACCCTTTCGCCACCAACCTTGCTTTATACTTGTCAAGTGATCCATCAGCCTTGTATTTAACTGTAAAAACCCATCAGCACCCAACTGGCTTTTTTCCTTTTGGCAGCTCAACTACTTCCCATGTATTATTTTTCTACAATGCCCTCATCTCTTTATCCATTGCTTCGGTCCATTCGCGACTCTTCAAAGCGTCTTCTACTTGAGTTGGTACTTGAATTGAATCCACATTATTCACCCAAGCTTGGCGTTCAGATGAAAGGTTTTTACAGGACACATAATTGGTTATGGGATACTTCACTTTTCCCTCCGGAGAGAACCTGTCAGGAGGTACACCATGATTTTGCCTTGGTGGCAATTTATATGTACTTATAACATCATTAGTTACATGAGTGTCACTAGTGCTTACCTCAAGGATGTCCAGAGAAGATGTATTGGACAACGACTCTGTTGAGCTAGAGAGATGAGAGGAAGCTGCTTTGGCAACAGCTGGCTGACCATCAGTACACTCCTCTTCGGCAACACCAACACACGGATTGGCAGCCTCTTCTTCGATGAGAAGCTGCTGACCACTCACAACAGGCTCTTTGACAGGAAGAGATCGAGCATCAACTGCATCACTTGTCACAGCACCATGCACTCCCCCTGAAACCGTTACATCTTGTACATCCAACCATTCAAAAACACCATCAAGATCACAACTAGAACTCTCCCCCATTGTGATCGAATGGTGGTGATACGGGAGTATAAAAATATTCTGACTCAGAGAAAGTCACATCCATGGTTATATACATGTGGCGAGTTGCAGGGTGGTAACACTTGTAACCTTTCTGGTGGGATGCAAACCCACAAAGACACACCGAAAAGCACAAGGATCCAATTTACTACGATGAATCTTGTGAATATGAACATAAGCAACGCATCCAAACACTCGAGGAGTGAGAGTATTGGTAGAAACAACCAGAACATGTTCCGTCAACACTTGGAGTGGAGTACGAAATTCTACAACCCGGGATGGCATGCGATTTATAACATACACAGCATAGGTGATGGCGTCTGGCCAAAAACTTTTGGGCACGGACCCACCAATAAGCAATGCACGAGCAGTTTCCAAAATATGACGGTTTTTTCGCTCAGCTACCCCATTCTGTTGTGGGGTATACGAACACGTTGTCTCATGAAGAATTCCTTGATCACGGAAAAAAGTAGATAGCTCAGAGTTAACATATTCTCCCCCATTATCAGTACGAAGAACCTTAATAACGGAGGAATATTGTGTAGCCACCATCTGAGAGAAAGACCGAATAATCATACTAACATCACTTTTATGTTTCAACATATAAACCCACGTCATACGAGTGCAATCATCAACAAATGTAATAAACCATTTAATTCCCGAAGTAGTACTAATAGGGGAAGGCCCCCACACATCAGAGTGTACTAGCGCAAATGGAGAAAATGTTCTATTCATACTTGGAGGGAATGAAGCACGATGACTTTTGGCTAAAATACATACTTCACATTTCAATTCTGAGTCTTCAATACCACTGAACAAATCAGGTAATATATGTTTCAAATAACCAAATGATGCATGCCCCAAACGACGATGCAATAACAATACCTTCTGTAGACTACTATTACGTGAGACATGAACCAAATTAGCTTTTCCATGAACCACATCATCCACATAATATAGCCCATCTCTCTTAGTGCCACGCCCAATGATCTCCTTTGTCTGAATATCCTGAAGCAAGCAAAATGAAGGATACATTAATACAACACAATCCAATTGTTTAGTGACTTGAGGTACCGACAATACGTGATGGGACAATGACGGAACCAATAAACAATTTTGTAAGGGAAGAGAGTGTGTAAGAGACACTGTTCCCACTCCAACAACAGCAGCAGTAGAACCATTGGCAGTTGCCACACACTTTCTATGAGGATGTGTCATAGATTGAAACAAGGTTTTATCATACGTCATATGATCTGTTGCACCAAAATCCAAAATCCAACCAGCATTCGTCATTGTGATAACTCACAAGACAGTAATACACGACAATTACAACACCACACCAATTACGAAACCACACGCTGAATCAATCAATTACTTGAGAACAAGAACAAAGGCACGATACTCGAGAACAATTCAAGTGCAGCACGAAACAAGAATTGTAGTTATACTCACTGCAACAAACTGGATAGCAAGCAGCAAAAAATTGTCACATCATCAGTAAACAACTCCTTGTTAAAGCCAAACGCATACAGCAATTTTGATTACAGTCGCACTGAAGACAGCAGTAAAGCACGTCAGATAGCCCTGTTACAAACTTGAAGTTACTACAGCAGATACAAATACTATTGCCTAAGCCAAATTGTATACGGCACAGCAACACAGAACACAACAACTACACACAAGGGTTTGGCTTGCTGCAGAGATGCAGCAACAGCCCAGAAACCTTGCTGCTTTCCTCTTTGCGATACACGGGTATGGTGGGAATTTTTTTCTAGGGTACGGTAGGCTCTGATGCCAACTTGAATTTTACGGCTTAAATTCCATTGTATTGCATAAAGGAAAAATATATACAAGATACAACCCTTGTTCTACAAGGTAACAATAAAGGACTCATAAATCCTTCCCAATAAAGGATTCCTAATATTTACAATATATTTGTGCCCTTTTTACAAAACCCCTCACGGCAACAGCCTCCACACTGTTACAAAGTATGAAGAAATTGTAGTGGTTGCCATTTTGTTGAGGCCATGAGTGGTCAGATGGTTGCCGTTTTGTTGAAAGCACAATGAAGTGAATGGGAAGATTTGGATGCTATCTAAAGAAGACTAAAACCAATAGTCTTATGGAAATATCAAATATGCAAATTCCATGCCTGAAAAGAAAGGGTGTAATTGGTAGAGTGTGGTGCAAAGACGACCAAAAAGTGCCAACGTCTATTGGAATAATGCAATTCTGTGACTTAAAGAAAACAGTATAAAAGGGGAAAAGCATGGTCCGTGATGGTCTATATATTGTCCAATTCGTCCTCATTTCAAGTCTCTTCCACAAGGTCTTGACCAAAGAGAAAAGAAGTGTCTTTAACACGGTCTGCCAGAAAAGCTACATATTGGAGGGTTCATGTCACATTGCCACTTAAATATATACATTATATTTACAAGGAGACCAACTTATATAGAACAAGTTCGTTGTGTATTTGGTATTTGCTTCTTAGGATTTTCTTGTAGATTAAGGATTTGGATTCCTTCCTCTGAGGATTAGGGTAATGGTTAGTTCTTTATAAAACTAATGTTTTGCAACTTGTTTATCTACAAGTCTAGTGAGATATAGTCTCTTTGAGTAATGTATCTTTTTTTGGCAATTCTATAGTGTTTCTTTGTTTTAAGTTAATTAAGTAATATATTCGTTATTTTGGTAGTCCGTTTGTTCGTCTGTTTTGCATATCCTAATTTTCAATTGATATAGGGTCAAAAGACTAACTTACACAAGGAATTAGTAAGTTCAAATTATCCAAGGATTAAGATCTACTCTCCCAATTATAAATTTATAATCTTTTGCATGTTACATAAAAGCTCATAATGTTGGAAAACCTAAACATTGAACAAGGTCACTTTTGAGATATGCACAAGCTACACGCATCATGCGTATACAAGTACTTACAAATGTGACAGTAATCAATGGTATTACAAATTATAGCAATGTGATAGCTAGATTATCGAATCTTCTTTTACATAGGACTCAAACGTGAAAGAATCAAGAATCAGCAGGGGATTGGAAAATTAATTGAGCCACAAGACTGATCAAGATTCATATGTATAAGCCACAGAAAAGTTAGAAAAGCAAATAACGCGCACACCAATTAATAATGGAAGACATAAACATTATATTCCACAACAGCATCTCCAGTTTTGATGTCAAACTGGTGAGTGCTAGCATGAGCATAGCCACGAGCAAATCGGAAAAGGCCACTTCCGCCTACTATCGGCATCTCCCTAACGGCTGACAACACGGCATTGCGCCCCAACACACTAAGAGTGCTACCATTATACTTCCCTTCAACAAAAACAAAATTCAAGGCCATCAAAAACCCCACCTCACTTTGTGAAGCTACAGCATAAATACCTTGGGCTTTTCCAACTAGCTTAGAGTTCGATTCAGGGCCAATAGTCAATGGATCGTCCATCATGACCACGGTGCCAAAGCCAGTCATGGAAGTGTTTGTAATGGGTGCCTCAGCCACTTTAACAGCCGTGGGGGTTCGGCCACTCACTATGTCATGAAAGTAGAAGTGAAGATGGCTTAGTTTCTCTTTCTTTAGACCATGTTTTGATGAAGATAACGGCCTTGAGAAACGGTGAGTCTCTGAAGCAACAAGGGTTGAGAGGAAGAAGAAGGAAATGGTTATGAGAATGGTGTAGGTAGAACTAAGGTTTTGGAGGGTCTTGGCCATTTTAGAGAATAGAGGAGGATGGTATAGAGCTTTTTGAAGGAAAGAAAAGTATAAAAGGGTTTCAAGACCAGTAGTTTTGTTTTGTGGGAACCTTAATATATAGTGAAGAAAATGGATTTAAATAATTGTAGAAGTTGGCATAACAAGTTGTGACAGATAAGAAAAGTCACGAATTAAACTTGTCATATGCGACGCTAAAATTCCGTTGTATAAAATTATGAAAGCATCGTGAATGCATTTTAGCAAAGGTCATGCGACGTTTGTGATCGCATCGCAACAAAACCGTGACGTAAACTTATTGCGATGCATGGTTTGGGAAGCATATTTCCAAACAACACCTACTTGAAAGTTTACGAAAACCAGAATTGAAAATAAGAAGAATCAATCCAGGTAAACACCAGGTATTAATAACATATCAACCATGTTGTATAACCCATCATCTCCAATTTTGAGTTTAAAGAATCTTAGAAAACGATGGAGAGATTAATAACATACCAACCATGTTGTATAACCCGTAAATAATAACATTGTGTGCTAATGTGATTCACACCCAAAACTCTTCTGCCAAAAGACAACCATAAGAGTCTTCGACAAAGAAGTCCAATTTGCTCTTCTTTTCAAGGTTGGTAGGAGGGCTTAATACATTAAATTAGATGATAATGAAACATGCAAAAGAAGGTGTTGAAAAATAAATAAATAAATAAATAAACCTAGCCTACACACACTTACAAAAAAAATGAAGAAATTCTAGTGCCTTGTGGCCGACCGACTAAAGATACTGAAGCTATGGTGGTTAGATGGTGCCATGTAGAAAGCGGAATGAAGTGAAAGGAAGATTTGGCTGCTATCTAAAGAAGCAATAGTTTTCTGGAAATATGCAATTCCACGCCAGAAAAGAGGGCATAAATATTAAAATAATGGGTAGAGTGTGGTGCAAAGACGATCAAAAAGTGCTAAAGTGTATTGGAATAATGCAATTTTGTGACTTAAAGGAAAGAGCAAAGGGGCATGGGATAGTCCTTATTGTCGTCGTTTCAAATCTTCCACGAGTCTTGACCAAAGAGAAAATAAGTCTTTAACACGGTCTGCAAAAAGGAGCAGTATGTTGTATGGTTTCATCCCACCATTGTATCTTCTTGACGTAAAATTATGGTGGCGGAGCTTTTCATTTAGGCTCAGTCAACGGTATCAAATGTGAAACCACTACCGGATGGTACAGTGGTTAGAGATGATTTCCAGACCCATCTTTCACACAGTAATTCCTGAGTTTGATTTCTGGCAATAGTGAATCACACGATGATGATCAGGAAATACTGAAATGCCTTTGTGAATTTCACAACCCTCGAAGGGTACCAAGATAATACATATAAGTAAACTATAGCCATAGTTTTCATTTACACAAAAATTGTCTTTGAAAGAAAATGAAATCACGTAAACGACACCACAGGATTCAACTGCCGTTTCAAAATATTTTAGTTTGAATCAATGCTTCTCATGTTTTGATCTTTCTTCAACTGTATTTTTTGGCATGCTACTACTGCCCCAACTTTCCAGAACTATCAACATCCAAAACCAGTAACGCGTCAACGTAATAATACTTGTATCTCAAACAAAACAAAAAACAAAAAATATACGAGTCCAAGGCAGGGTAAGAAAGGGTTTAGCTAATGGAGATATTATCTCTTCCGTAAACCAGTAACGTAAACCATGCCAAACAAAGTACTATTGTCCAGTTAATCGATCCACACTTAAACCCGACCTCTGATAACTACTCCACCAGTAGACACCGAAATAAAATACAAAAGCAAGAAAGAAACTCAATCCAATATTCCTCTAGCACAGGTATTCTTATTTTGGTAAGGGAAACCAATAAGAACGTATAGAAACCAATAACAAGAGAATTAAAGACATACAATAAATTATGAGCAAATTGTGTGCAGATGTGGAGAGTAAAATAAGAATATTCGCTTACGTGAAAAACTAATCAAATAGTTTAATTTAAAAATATACAATTATTGTCACTTAGGAATCCAGATTCTTGCCGGATCATCTTTGTGATGATCCCTTTGTGAGGATCCCGGATATTCAGGAATCATATCCGTGTACATCATATGGTCAGAAATTATTTTAAATATTTTTATTTAAAATTAAATATAAACAGTACCTGACAAAAAATGACCGTACGATATACGATGAACGGATACGATTTACAGATCCCCAAGATCCTCACCAAAAGGATTCGGAGAGGAACCTGTTGGGTCACTTAGTACTATGGTATGGTGGTATTCTTCTTCACTTGGAAGTGAGATGTTTTAGGGTCGAATCTCGTGCATAGCGAATTCAATACCAAATTAGGTTGCCCATTATGTGGCTTAACCGAACTCATCCTACCCTTAGTGTAAAAATATATCATTATGCTAAAAAAATATACAATTATTAGGTTTTTACTAAAATAGCTATAAGAATTGGGGTAAAACTTTTCTAATAATACGTATTCAGATTGTAAGAATATCAAAGCTAGTGATCCAAGTGAAGAGGAAACAATGGTTAAGATCATGCCACATGTCAATGGATAAAGAGGGTTATTATATAAAGGTTGTTGGAATTGTAGGTTGTTAGAAGTATGGTTTGTTGAAATAAGGAGGTTACACATTGTATTAGCTTAATAAGTAAGCTTTGTAATAAGGTAGTATATAAGACACTTTGTAATTGTTACTTGGTAATCAAGAAGGACCAATTCACAAAGCTCTCTCTCTCTCTCTAAAATCTTCTTCTGCATTTCTTCTGCATTCTTTGCAGTTCTTACATGGTATCATCGCCAAAATACGATATGGCGCTTCCGCATTCCTCTTGAATTCTTATATCTTCTCAATCCTCTAGTTTGTACAACTTCTAAGATACAATTGGGCAAATCTCATCATCCAATTCACAAGAAAATTGGAGTTCTTGGTCACGCAGATCAACTGTTTGATTAAAAGCATTAGTAAAGAAATTTCTTGTTGTCTACAAAAATGGTTACAGCAGCACAGCTACAGATTGTTCAATTGCCAATCACTAACCTCATTCCAACAATATCAACAACCGTTACTGTGAAATTGGATGACACTAACTACCTCACATGGAGTTTTTAGATCAAATTGCTTCATAAAAGACATGGAATTCTGAAATTCGTGGATGACACCAAGAAATGTTCAACAAGATTTGTCAATGATTCAACTGTTGAAGGGGTAGAAACAGATGCCTACCAAGTTTAGAAAATACACAATCATGCAATCATGCAACTCATTACTACAACTTTATCATCCACAGTAGAGTCTTGCATCATTGGCAGCACTAGTTATAATGAAATGTGGATGAATCTCAAGGAAAGATTCTCTTCTGTGACAAAAGCCAGTATCTTTCAATTGAAGATTGACCTTCAAGACATCAAAAAAGGTTCTGATTTTGTTTCTGAGTACTTACAAAAGATTAAAGATGCAAGAGATCATCTTACAACAACTGGGGTTGTCTTTGAAGATGATGATATCATCATTCTTGCTCTCAAGGGATTCACTGTAGAATACAACATTTTTCGACATGTTATCAAAGGAAGGGAAAAAGGTATCTATATCAAAGATTTTCGATCTCAGTTGCTTGTTGAAGAAACAACTATCAACCAATCTTTGGAGTCAAATTTTTCGTTTGGAACATCAATGATGGTAGCTAATCAAAAGTCAAAATGAAAAGCTTTGGTTCTTGATTCTAACTATATAGATTCAAGTAACCATGGTTCATCTTCTGGCGACAAATCAAATCAACACAACAACTCAAACATCAAAGCTAGTCTTTTGGGAATCAACATAACTATAACAATGGGAATTACAATGGTGGTTACAGTGAAGGATACATAGGCAATAACTACAAGGGCAGAGGTAAAAGCAAGTTCAATTACAATTATGGGTCAAGGTTTCATACACCAAACAATAATCATGGAATTCTTAGGGCTCTAAAACCATATCAATCCACTTGTCTTGCTCATCCTTCAGAAATTCCAACATGTTAGATTTGTAGTAAAAAAAAAGGTCATATTGCAACTGACTGTTTTCACAGGCATACAGATTCTTCAAGCAGCTCATCATCACCTGTTTAATCCCAAATTTGTTGGAAATTTGAGCATACAACTAGTCAATGCTATCACGGAGGGAATTTTACATACTAAGGAAGGCCTTATGCACCTTCATTCAGTGCATTGCATGTTAATCATCACCATTCAGCTCCACTAGATCAATTTTGGATTGATGACACTGGAGCAACCTCTCACATAACACCAAAGCTTGCCAATCTTGAGTTACCTACTCAATATCAAGGCACAAACACCATAACCACTGCTAGTGGTGCATGTTTGGCCATTACAAATATTGGTTCTTCAAAGTTGCATGCTTCAAATCATACTCTTGAGTTAAAAAAGGTTCTTCATGTACCAAAGATGTCACAACAATTACTCTCCATTTATTAACTCTGCAATGACAATAGATGCAAGTTTATATGTGATGAATTTTCTTTTTGGGTTTAAGACAAGATCACAGGGACAATGCTACTCAAGGGACTATGTACGGATGGCTATTACCATATTCCATTTTCCATACCACAAAAGTTGTTATTTGCAGCATCTCACAACCATGCATGCAATCTTACAAAGCTAATACATAAAACCTTGTGGCATAAGAGGCTAGGACACCCATCAAATGCAATCACTTTTGTTATATTGCACAATAACCAAGTACATGCATCACAAGACTTTACTACAAACATTTGTACATCTTGTTTAGAAGAAAACTTTACAAAACTTCCTTTCTTGTATTCTCCAAATAAGTTTGTACAACCTCTAGAAGTCATTCATAGTGATGCGTGGGGACCTTTTCCTTTGTTATCTGTTGAAGGTTTTAGGTACTATGTAAGTTTCATAGATGAATGAACTTGGTTTATATAGATATTTCCATTACATAATAAAGCATAAGTGTTTTCAACATTTGTTCAGTTCAATGCATATCTAAGTACTCAATTTTAGGGGTGGGCAAACGGGCCATGGGCCCGCGGTTAGGGGTGGGTATTAGCGGTTCGGGGTAGTTCCTAT